CATTTTTTTTTCTTGCTTGAATTTGTCATCACTTACTCTGTATGATGGAGAGACCTGGGGTTTTTTGTTTTTTTTTTTAAAGGCTGCACAATTCTGAACGGTAAATGTCACATTTGCATAATTTCTTTTTTTCTTCTACCTCTTTCCTCTTCTCCCCATCCCACTGAAGCCGTGAGGATCCGTAATTGTTGCCATTGTTATTGACAAAAGGAGAGCATGAACAAAGGGATGAAAAGAAAGGAGGAGACATCATGGGGCTAAATATCCTGATCAAAACCCACTTTTGTCATTTGGGTATCAATTTTTACAACTAATTTGGCACAGCATCACTAGCGAGCTGCCTGCAAAGACATGAGATGATCTGGGAGTGAGAATTAAGTCTGCAGGCTTCCTGTGCGTGGGCTGAGCCCCGTGCAGCCGGGTACATTGCTGTCTGCCTGAGCTCATCTCTGTTTTCTCCTCACCATTTTGGGGCTTGCAGGACCAGTGCTCTGCAGCACTGGGTTTATTGCYGTGCTGATTTGTAACCCGTGAATGTTTCCAGTGAGATGTGTCTAATTTATTGGCATAAACCATTAGAATTTCCTTGAATGCCCTGGAGTTTCTGATKCACCAGCTGAAAACTATTATCACAGAGCACATAATCACTTGGAAAGAGCCTCTGTCTTCTCTTTTTTTGTGTGTTAAATTCAATCACTTAAATAGCATTTTTATAGCACATAGGCCAAAAAGGTACCAGATGTTCTGTATTTCTGTTTTATTTTTACCTTAGGGAAGTTTGGTCAGCAGTGACGCTCACAGTTGATGTGAACCTTGGGCATAAGATGACTGTGGACTTACATCATGACACTTCTGCAAGAGGCTCCAATYCTCTGAACAGCTTCAAGTGCTCAGGCTGGGCCTGGCACTGTGGCAATTTCAGCTGAAAATACATTTTCATCATTGTAATGTTTGGTGAGAGTGCAAGGGCTTTGCTAGCATGTTGTGAGATACAATTCTGGCAACCTCAAGAGGAGCAGAGAGTCCAGATTGTTTCCAGGACCAGGATAGAGGATTTCTTGGCCCAGTGTTGCTGCTGCCTGCCTTCATCTGAGTGCATTTCTAAGCTCCCCTCTGCTATTTTAAATATGTGCTAATTGGGTTCTAGCCTGAAAGGAGGACCAGGCTCATTACAGTTTTCAGTAGCTAAAAAACATCTCACCCATCCAAGTATTCCTTATTTCCCCCTTCCATGAACATAAAAATGGCCTTACCTTCTGCACAGATCCTTGATATTCTGGGCATCAGCTTAGATTCACACCTTGTTTTAGGTTTTTTTTTCCCCCTAAACTTGGAGGAAAGCTTTGTGCTGGGCCTGTCACACTGCTCTTTTTAGATGTCCACACAAATAAAGCTCCTGTTCATGGATATGATCCATTTTCAGCCTCCATTTTCAGCCTGTGCTCTCCCTGTGAAGGAGGAGCTCTTTAGAAAACTTTTCCAAGGGTTGCAAAAAAAAAGTGATTGAAGAAAAGGAAGTTTGTGTCTAAGCTCTGCAACAGCTCGAACAAGGGAAACATTAAGAAATGCACATCTGATGGCACTTTTTTGGGAACCTACGTATCAAGAAGATTGAAAGACATTTTGTAATATTACAAACCTCTGCATTGTGGTGGTGTTTGAAATTCTGGTAATAGTCTGCTTTTTTTAGCKATACAGTAATTGCACCTCTCAATGGGAATGCTATTCAGGAATAATGATCCTATCAAGACAAGGGAATATGGATTGTAGTAAAGGTTATGATGGTTTCTGTGAGAGGCTTAACATTGATCCTTTTAGCTATCTGATTTTCCAGGAGAGGAAAATAAAACCCTAACTACTTTGAGTTTAGCATGTGATTCAGTGTGAAAATTCTTATGGGTGGTTTTAGAAGATGGAACTTCAAGTGAATTTGCAAAACTGTTTTTTTCCCTCTGTCTTGTTTGACGAATACTTTCAAAAAGAAATGGATTTTTTTTTTTTTTATTTCCCACACATTTTACGCTTTTCTCGGTTCTTTTAGGTTTTTTTTTTCTTCTAATGCAAGTCAAAACTGTTAGAGAAATCAAAAGTAAAATTCTGTTATGTTGAAAAGGCCATGTTGTGAAATATATCATAAACACGCCGTTAGAATTGTGTCTCCTAATTAATGGAGTGAGCTCCTGGGAAACAGCAAGCCTGTAACACAGCTCAGCCCCCTTTGATCCTCTGGTGAGTTYGTAAAATCGTTGCCCGCCTAAACTTGTCTGCAGCTCGTTACACATTTTACCCATCTGCTGCAAGAACAAAAATAAACCATTTATAATTCAGCTGAACTCCAGTTGTTCAGCATATCACTGACTGTGGAGGCTTCAGTAAGGGGGAGAGGATGGTAGGAAAAGCAAAGCAAAGGTGAAACAGARTCAGGCACCCTGGAAAAGACATCGCTTTTACCTCTAGAGGTTCTGTAGGTGCTGGGTTGCAAGTTGCACACGGGAGTTACAGGTGTTGCTGCAAAGTAATTCAGATTTTTTTTTTGTGAAATACACTTCAGTGTCTGTCTATTGTCTATAAACTGAAATAAAAACATTTGCTGGGTTTCTTGGGATTCAATCCAGACGAATGTCCAGGTCTTGGGTAGAACTGGGGATGTGSATGTACATGTGTGTGATGCTTCCCCCCAGCCTACAGGGAACTGCTTGGTATATCAGGAACCAGGAAAGTTCCTGKTTTTTATCTGTCACTCCAGATGACTGGGTGACCACATCCAAGCTCTGCAGGTGGCTGTAGATCACTGCTTTACTTCCCTTACTRAAGCAAACTCTTTCCTTGAAAACTGCCCCCATTTTATGGTTGGGATCTCAACCTCCCTGAGTCAGAGCCCGCAGTGTTTGCCTGAGCGTGGTGCAGCCAGCCACAGCACCAAGAATTGGGATGGCTCTGCTGGACCAATCAGGTGTCAGCTCCAAAATCTAATAACAAGAGGAGCTAATTACTCCCTATGCAAATATCACAAGGCTGTGTTCTGTTGATTTTTAGAMTAGATCAGCGCTTCATTTCAGCACSCATATGTTTTATCTCCATTGGTTAGCTATCACTCCTGGATGCCTGCATCCCTCCGAGGGCYTCTGCTGTCATGGATCTTGCTGCTGAGACAGAGGGAGAGCATTATGAAGTTCTCCTTTCATCAGAAACCAGAGATTGATTTGCTCTGGCCTGTAAATAAATGACAGCTTAAAAATGTATCCAGTATCCAGTGCTTACCCAGCAGGGTTTATCTCCTTCCATGCCCAGGAGAATCGYGCTGTTACAAGCACCATCTCCTCCCAGTGACTTCTGTGGTGATTTACCAGCAGCCAATCTGCATTTTGCTGAAAATGGCTTGTTTGGAGGCTGCAATCTCTTCTGGACTGTGAGAAAATCCTTTGCCCAAAGCAGAGAGGCTTTGCCAAGGGCAGGGTTGGAAAGGGGAGAGTCAGCGACAGGAACAGCTCACCTGGGAGGGGAGGCTACAGCACTGTCTGTTCCTTGCCAAAGATTTAATGCGTGGCAGGGAGCTTTAGYTGGGTCCCAGGGGCTGAGCTGAGGGCTGGAGGCTGCCAGATGGATGCTGGAACAGTGTGTGCCCGGAGCCTGGAGAGTTTGTGACAGCCACAGCTTTTAAAATGCCTTTGGTAACCCACATTCATTTACTGCCCTTGTTAGGGCTGTGATTCCCAGCACTCACTGAGGCTGACAATAAACCTGTTGGAAGTGTCTGCAGAATAAATCACTGAACAAAATTATTTGGCACGAGGGTTTTAAAAGGTAAAGTCCCCTTAAGTCACCAATCTCATGTCTAAAAGACATGCAAGGTGGGATCTCTCTAGTCTGTGCTCCATTTAAAGATCTACAAAACTGAGATTCCCACTGTATTTCYCTGGAGATCATGACACAAGGCAATGCACATTGCTGCCAAGCTTATTTTCTTGCAGTCACACTTTATTCTTTTATACATTGATTGCTTTTATACCTCTCAGTTCAGCAAGACAYTGGTATTAATTTTTGAAGCTTCTTTTTAGTCATCTCTTAGTCTAAAATATGCACCTATTTAATTCTTTCTTCCTAAACCCATCATCCTATTTGTAGGTTTCTCCTTCTCAGAGTTCCTAAAAGAATATCTGTCTTGTGATGATGTGGGAAGATGTATATTGGGCAAAAAGGCATGCTAACTTTCTGCAAGTTATGTTTTTATTTAGAGTTCAGACGAATTTTCAGAAAGCTTCATATCGAGATGACACCAGTGCTGTTGTTAACTTGCTTCTGTTCCCAGTAATTTCATACCTATAATATTCCACCTCCTCTGTTTGGCTTTTTTTTTTTTTTTTTTTTTTTTTTT